CACCAGAACATAGATAAGAGGTCCATTTTTGGCAGCCTCTTAAGCCTAACCTCAGCAAGTTATCGGACAGTTTTAAATTTCCTAGGAAGAGTGGTTATAAGAAAGCAAAATCAAGAATCTGTAGTCAGAACCTTTAGATAACCTTTCTAAATCATTGCCTCCCAAACATTATCTCACTGATGAGTCTTCCTGCAGAACTGGCCTTCTGGAGAATGCACTTATTTACATCTTTTTTTTTTAAGTAAAATTTGAAGTTTAATTAAAATAAGAGGACTACATTAAAATATTTTCTGATTACTGATTGTGAGACTCAAAACACCCTCAAAACACTGGAGATCCAGCTTATTTTTGAGAGACATCAACCGTCACAAGAGGTTTTTACTCTGAACTATTCACATTTTGTAACAAAAGACGGAACAAATTTCTCCAAACACACCCTCTTTCTAAAATGTCTTTGCAAATAGGGTCTTCTCATAATTCCAAAGAAAAACAGCTTGCTTTCTTATTTCTTAGCCAACGGGCCTTTTACTCTCACCCTTGAATCTCTTTAAGAATCCAACCAGAAATTCCCAGGACACCAGCGGCTCTCCACTTGTCTTCCCCTGAGGGCTCAGTGTCTGTCTTCCTACACGGGAGCTGCTTCTGGTGCCACCGTGTCAGCAGTACCAGGAGAGAGTCGGGTGGGGAGAAGGGTGAATGGAAGAACAAAAGGGTAAGAATGAGGCTTCCCTGAACAACCCTCAGCAAGGCAGAATGGTCCAGTTTTACAAACCACCCACTACAAACTCTAAAAATGTACACCCAAAACTTTGGGGGAAGGAAAGAGCTGAGAAGGAATTGGGGAGGGACACAAAGGACAATGACATCGAACAGCAGACTTGGCCATGGAAATTTCTTACTTTCCCAGCACTGGAAGGTGTTGTCATCTGAAAAACAAAATGTCACTCTTCAGATAAGTGACAGATATCAGATACCAACACTTGAGGTATCTTTGCTATAGCTTTGAAAAATGGCCTGGCAGAAGAAAGGGAAGGAAAAGAAGGGAGGGGGAGGGAAGAAAGGAAAGGGAGGATTCAGAGTACAATGGCCATGGCAAGAAAGCTGGGAGGAACACATTTCTAAATCCATGCTTATGTATCCCAGTAGCCAAACAAAGCAGACCCAAACATGAAAAAAATACAGTTCTTTTCTAAGAACATTTCTAAAAGTTAACTTTAAATTCAAAATAAAAGAAACTGCAAGCCAAGACAACAAATACCACAATGTTCAGTGGATTTTAAAATTGACTGGGACCGGGTACTCAAGTTGGTCGACAGTCTTTTACATATTATCTGGCAGAACCTAGGATCAGGCCTTACCCAGCAAGTGGAAGGCCAAGTGCCTCCGTTACCTCATGGACCTACTCTGGGAGCAGACAGAATCACCTGGGTATCTCCCAGTGGAGAGGCCTCTGCAGCAACAAGCTGCACACAGAGAGGAAGGCAAAAGAACAAAGAACAGCTGGTTCCTGGGGGCTCCCTCCTGTTCCAGTTTAAAAATATCTGCACAAATGTGGCGGGTAAAGGAGTGGGATGAGAAACTACAATACCAAAGACAAGACATTCCTCCCAAGGGAAAGAGAGGATGCAGATTTCCAGACAGTGTCACGGAGCAATGCTACCGCAGTCGCATAAATTGTGCTGCTCTGTCCCTAAGGACAGACACCTCAAGGTAAAAGAGAAAACAGCTTTCTTTGTGTTTATCATTTCCCCCTGCTGCTTTTAAAGGCACTGAACCATAGGTGGTATACAAGGAGGAGAGACAGAATCAAGAACATGAATGATGAACCTGCCAAACCTCTGTATCCCTTCCCCAGACATTCCAGGCAGGCGATTGCTGGTAGACTGATTGAGATTTGAGAGAAGTTTGAGGGGGGATAGGGACATTCTCAATAGAGACAGGACCAGAGAAGCCAGTTTAACAGTTTTCCTCAACAGACATCTTAGCTCTATAGAAACATCCCTAGGGCCTTCAAGCTAATCTGTTTGTTGTTGTTGTTGTTTGGGGGTTTTTTTGTGGTACCGGGGATCGAACTCAGGACCGTGGGCTTTCGAGGCAGGCAGCGGCACCACTGAGCTAAATCCCCAGCCCCTTTCAAGCTAATCTGTTCAGCTGGGCAGAGGACAGGAAACAGGAGAAAAAACAGCCAGATGCAGCTCATCTTCCTAGCATTTGGCACCCGAGGAAGAGTGGAGGTGAGGATGGCACTGGGGATTGCTGGTTCTGCCTCTGTCTTCCCACTGTCTGTCCTGTTGACCACATCAGGTCCACATGAGTATCTCCGTTGCTGCTTTTCTCCCATTTCTTTTTAAATTTATTTATTTATTTATTTATTTTTGGTACCGGGGATCATACTCTGGTCCTTGCACTTGCAGAGCAGGCAGCGGAACCACTGAGCTAAATCCCCAGCTTTTCTCCCATTCTTTCAGGAGGTCACATGTCCATCTCAAATTGAGAATCATTCCCTGCAGCCGCATGCTTCCTGTCGTGATTGTTCAGGTTGCTCAGCTTGTTTATTTCTACTTTGGAGTCTTCAATTAAGGTGCCAGGGCTAGTAACTCCCGGGGTATTGGGCAGATGGCAGGGTGGGGTCTGAGCCATGGGAGAATTTCCATGAAAGATTCTGATCATAAATGATTCGAGTTCCTCCCAGCGTGGTGGTGAACATCGGCGCCCTGGGTGTGGTGCAATAGTCATGAGGTAGCTTTGCAGTGTCGCTGATGGGCACAGTGCGGGTGGGAACGGCGCAGCTCTGGCTGGGCTGGTGAACAAGGACATGGCTCCAGCGCACCTGCTGGCTTTGTCCAGCGGGGGGGTAGGGTGACTGCCTTCTCGCTCGCCGCCTCTCCTCCTTCGTCCCGCTCCTCCACTCCTGCCACCGCCGCCCCAGTAGCAGCAGCGGCAGCCATGGCCCTCATTTACACCTTTCACTCCCCTTCTCACACAGACAAACTAAACCTGGCAGGACGTCCCCTCCTCCTTTCACCCTCGCTGGAAAATGAAGCCCCCCACACAGCATTTGGGGGACTGGTGGGGACCCTGCTTCACTGCAAGCCAGCTAACCAAAACCTTGGGCCGGCCTGTGCTTTGACCTGTCTGCGCCATTACCTCCCCTCGCACCTGTGCGGCCCACCTCTGTTCTTCGATACACCCTGTCCGTCCCAAGACTTCCCTGCCTGCTGCACCTGCTGGGCAGCAATGCTTTTCCCTTGGTTCCCTGGGGGCTTCTTCCCTGGCTGCTCTCTGCTGAGAGCCCAGACTCTTAAGCTCATTCTCAGGCTTGTTCTATCTCATTTGGCTGATTATAGCATGTAGTATTTATCTACAGAACTGGCTGCTCCCGAAAGCAAAAATGTTAACCTTTCCCTAACCTAATAAATGCATAGGATAATGATGTTCAGCAGAAATAACATGTGAGCCATACTTGTAATTAAAACTTTTCTGGCAGCCATATTTAAAATTTTTTCAACAGGCAAAATAGGTTAATTCAATATAGACAAAAGTTTTGTGTTTTTTTGCGTTTTGGGGTGTCCTGTATACTAACAGCACACCTTATTTCAAGTACTCCCTAGCTGGCTATGGTGGTGGCTGCTGCATGGGACCACACAGCACAAGGAAAGGACCCCTCGGGCAGTCTCACTGTGGAAATGGGGTGGGGGCACTACCATAAAGAAGCTGGCCTGCTGACTTCCTTGTGCTTATGGTTGTTGTGTAACTTTCAGAGATCTAGGTTTTTGTTTCCCTGTAGGTTAAAGTTGGTTTTCTTTGTCAACCTTGTGTTAAATTAACTTAGAGTGAGCTCCATTAGCTTAACTGTTACTTAGGAGTATGGTTTCTGAATTTCCTGTACATATACATTATTTCTCTTTTAAGTCCCAGATTTATTTTGAATATTGAAATACTTCTTTTTTTTTTTTTTTGGTACCAGGAATTGAACTGGAGTCCTTGCGCTTGCGCAGCAGGCAGCGAAACCACTGAGCTAAATCCCCGGCCCCTAACATTGAAACACTTAAAATACTTCAAGATACATGCACATTTTTATTTAGACAACTAAAATACTCTGTCACCCAGTATAATTTTGGGTACTTAGAGCTAAGTTTTACAGTGGCACTGATAACGTTCTGCGTGGAGAAAGTGCTATTCTTTTTTTTTTTTTTTTTTTTTTTTTTTAGAAATGTATCTTTACAGATAAGCCATGTCACAGCTCAGGATTTTACTCTGCTGCTGCATTCTAAAATAGGTGGTAATCAAGAGGATTGCATCCAGAAGAGAGTACCTAGTAATGTTGGGTGGACCTGTTAGTATCTGAGAAACCAATAAGAGGACAGCATTTATTTTACCGGGATATATTACAGGCAGTCGTGGAAAGTGTTTTTACAGACTGTGTCTGAGGACTTGTCCAGCAGTGCACACTGGCAGTCTCAGCTGCTAAGAAGGCCGAAAATGAAACAAGACCATTGAACCCAGGAGTCAAGGCCAGCCTGGGCTATGTAATAAGACCCTGTCTCAAAAATAAGTAAATGAATAAAGAAAATGTTTAAAGTTTTTAAGGCCCACCTGAGAGAGGATTATATATATCCTGAGTGGGTCCAGAGAGCAATAGCTTTGCTAGGAAATGCAAATCTTGAATTTAACACAGACAAGACCCCAGCAGTAGTAACAGGTGTCCAAATAGAATGCACTACTGAAGCAATAATGCCTTGCTGGGCGTGGTGGCACACACCTGTAATCCCAGTACTCTGGAGGCTGAGGCAGGAGGGTTATCAAGATTCTGAGGCCAGCCCAGGCTATCTAGTGAGAAAGGACGAATGCCATTTTGCTCGCTGTAGATGTTGCAGGAAGCGTGGTGGCTGTGTGTCTCTGGGGGAAATGCAGGGAGTTCGGGTGCTGGTGGGCATCTGTCCTGTGTGTCATCCCGTCCTGAGATTTCTACTGGTGTCGTGTGTCTTCTCTACTTACAGCTAGAACAGCAGAGGCAGCAGTTGCTTACGGAACGACAGAACTTCCACATGGAGCAGCTAAAATACGCCGAGTTACGTGCCCGACAGCAAATAGAGCAGCAGCAGCATGGCCAGAACCCTGCACAGGCACATCAGCACGCAGGGGGTCCTGGCCTGGCCCCACTTGGAGCTGCCGGGCACCCGGGCATGATGCCCCATCAGCAGCCCCCTCCCTACCCACTGATGCACCACCAGATGCCACCGCCTCACCCGCCCCAGCCAGGTGAGAGGATTGCAGCCCTCGCGGCACAGGTCAGCAGAGCACTGACCCTCACAGGTGGTGGCTCTGATGAGTCCAGTCATTCTTGCGTCTAGGAAATCAGGCGAGCAGATTAGGTCTGACAACTCATGAAGCTGCCATGTTCCTTTCCTGCAATTCTCAGAGGACACTTTCTCCTTGGGTCAGTCAGCCTCTGGATGAAAGAGTACTGTAGTTCCCTGTAGGGTACTCTCGTGATCCAGCTTCAGCAGTCGTCATCTTTCTGCCAGTTTTAACTTTGTTACAGAAATTTTCAACTATAGACAGAAGCAGGGTGCAGAATATAACAATCCCTGTATCGTTGCAGAGCTTCAGAATAAGAGCACCCCCTCCCCCACTTTTTTTCTTTTTCTGTGGTGCTAATAATGGAACCCAGGGCCTTGGCCCATGGTAGGCCAGGGCTCTACCCCTGAGCTACATCGCTGGTCCTCAGTGTTGTTATTGTATGTTTTCACCCATCCCCCTCATTTGGGGATAGAAATAGATCTCAGAAGGAAAATTTATCCAGTAAATTTTATCCAGTAAAATCTTGTTCTTTAATGTACCTATCATCAGTTTCCGGTCAGAAGCAACCATAATTCCTAATATCATTAAAAATCTTTGAATACTTTGTTTGACTTGGCATTCAGATAAGATCCACATGCTAGATTTATGTCTCTTAAGTCTCCTAATGTTCATCTTCCTCTTTTAATCCCACTTTTGTGTTGAAGACTCAGGGATTTTCTACACCATGGCCATGCATGAGAAGGCTACATTCAGGGTGCATGGTATCATCACTGTCCTCCTTCTCCCCTTCCTCCTATGCATGTCCAATACATGGAGGATTTCTCTGATTCATGACCATCCTTTGAGGGCAGGTGCTCTCATAGCAACAGCTGCCTCCTTTTGTGACAGGAATATTGGGCAGTGGTTCTGAGATCAGTCTGACCCAGCCACTACAGGATCCACAGCAGATTTGCCCTGGGTGTGCCTGCCCTTGAAAGTCCCTCCATAGAGCAGTTATTTCATTGACTGTTGTGAATGGTTAGATGTCTATGTTTATGATTTTTTGCATTTAAGTGATTCTTTCATTTAAAAGTAAAAAACAGCCCATGTGGTGGTGGTGCATACTTCATACTCCCAGCACTTGGAAGGCTGAGGCAAGAGGATTGCCATGAGTTTAAGGCCAGCCTGGACTACATAATGAGACCTTGTCTCAAAGAGAAGAAACTTCCTCAGTCCTATTCTAATCGTTTTGTGTTATTTTTTTGTTTTGGGGGGCGGTTTTGTCCTCAGTACTAGGATCAAACTCAGGACCTTGTTCTTGCTTCGGTGCCACCGAGCTAAATCCCCAGTCCAAACCTATTATAATCTTGAAAATCTAAAGAAAGGCTGGATAAATGCTTACTTCATTCCTTTTGTCAATTATCTATAATGTATTGCTCCTCCCCAGTTTGTGATGGGGGCAGTGTGTTCTTGTTGTTTTCGTTTGTGTTTTTTTTTTGAGACAGGGTCTCTATACAGTTCAGGCTGTCCTTAACTTGTGGTGATCCTCCTGCCTCACCCTCCCAAGTGCTGGGATTACAGGCATGCGCCACCATGCCCAACCTACTCCCCAGTTTTTTGTTTTGTTTGCTTTTAGCATTAAGAAATTAGGGCCGGGGATTTAGCTCAGTGGCACCGCGCCTGCCTCGCAAGCGCAAGGCCCTGAGTTCAAGCACTGGTACAAAAAAAATTAGAAAGAAATTAGATTATTTTTGTGTGTTTTGATCTACTATGAACATTATCCCCCTTGTACTGAGGTTATGCTCACACCTAAGCAAGCACTGTGCCACCTAGCCACGTATCCAGGCCTTTTTTATTTTAATTTTAAGATAGGGTCTTGGGTATGTTGCCAAGGCTGGGCTCCAACTTGCATACTCCTGCCTCAACCTCCTGAGTAATTGGGGTTACAGGCCTACACCAAGTGCCAACACACTCAGCGACATTCTTTTCAGTACTCAGATTGTTCTATCTTTGACATGTCGTGAATGTTGAATTCATTTTTTCCAACTTAACTACTAGCATTAAAACCCAAAATGGACGTTGTTTTGTTTTTGAGGCAGGAGCTTGCTATGTAGTTCAGGCTGGCCTCAAACTCAGTTCTCTTGCCTCAGCCTCCTGAGTGCTGAGACTATAGGCTTGTACCACCATGCCTAGCTAAAATGCACTTAATTCCAGTCCTTTTTGTACCACATCCGTTTCCTTCTTAGAAGGTAGTACTAGCTGGGTGTGGTGGTGCATGCCTGTAACCTGAGCACTTTGGGAGGCAGAGGCAGGAGGATCACAAGTTCAAGCCCAACCTGGGCTACTTAATGACTTAAGACCATTTCCCAAAATTAAAAAAAGAGAGGGGCTGAGGATGTAGCTCTGCAAGGTTTAATCGCTAGTACCATAAAAACAAACAGTACATATGGGTATTTGCTATGTATTAATGTTGTCCTGGCATTGATCATCCCATAAGAGTTTTATGGTTTGGTATTCTGTGGTAATGTATAAGTGCTTCCCCGAGCCAGAGTCTGTGCTTGTTGGAATGGGACACATGTACTCTGGCCAAGGCATGTAGAGGCAAGCAAAGTTGGAGAGGCCCCTGGGAGTCTGAGAAGGTCTCATCGTGATAATGTCACTTGGTCTGACTTCCTCAAAGGACAGATTTCTAAATCCCCTCATGGTAGCAGAGTACTATGGTGCATGCCTGTACTCCCAGCTGCTCCACAAGCTGAAGGGAGAGAATTGCTTGATCTCACAAGTCCCAAGACCAATGAGACCAGACTGGACAACATAGACCCTGTCTTAGATATATAAATACCCTCATAGAAATAGCAGTCCTTCTGCCACAGCCTCCCGAGTGCTGGGATTACAGGAATATGCCTGGCCACATACACACCTGTTAAATTGCAACTGTGGAATTTACTAGGTCCATCAGACTTGCCACTTGATCTAAATAACAGGTGTGGAGATGGTCTTAGACATCTAACATGTTCCTTAGTACAAGACATTTTCCTCAGTTCCCCTCTCTGTCCACCTGAATGGTGATCTGATTTTCACCAGAGTTCAGCTGTCAAAAGATACAGATGTGGGCCAGGGATTTAGCTCAGTGGTTTCGACACCTGCTGCGCAAGCGCAAGGACCCGAGTTCGATCCTGGGTACAAAAAAAAAGATACAGGTGCTTAATGGAATGCAAATCATAGATTAATTTTTCAGAAACAGTAATTATTTAAAATTGGGTTCCTAGCAGGTGTGGTGGTGCATGCCTGTAATCCCAGCACTTGGGAAGCGGAGGCAGGATTGCCGTGAGTTCAATGCCAGTCTTGAGCTACGTAGTGAGTTCAAGACCAGCCTGAACTATATCATTAGACCCTGTCGCAGAAAACAAAAACTGAAAAATAAAAAATCAGTTTCTAATCCAGGCATCTTGGCTCATGACTGTAGTACTCCCAGCTCTGAAGGCTGAGGCAGGAACATTGCTTGAGCCTAGAGTTTTACAACCCGTCTGGGCAACATAGTGAGACACCCCATCTCATAAGATAAATGAAAAATAAAAGCTAAGAAGTAAAATTTTGTCCAGAACTTCTGGGATAAATACTTAAGGGGTAGTTCACTATGGCTGCTTGGCATTTGGCTCTGTTAAAGCCTCCTATCAACATCAATGTGCCCAGAGCACATAAAAGGCGGTCCAGCTCTGTGCGTAGACAGGAGAAGATGGCCAAGAGATGCGTGTGTGTCTTTCCTGATTGCATGCTAGTGATGATAGCTGCTGGTGTGCCTGGCTCCTCACCCATGCTGTCTCATGTGCTGCTTCCGCTCCTCTTTGCCCTCAAAGTCCTAATGCATGGTGAGGTCTTGCTGCCTGCTGGGCCAGGTTCCCACCGAGCACCATCTGATCCCAGTGAGGCCAATTCCGCCATGCGGCCTCCTGCGACAGTGAAGGCTGGAATGATTTGTAGCCAGCTCCCAGTGAGCTGATGCCAGCAAACGCACTGATAAAAATAATCTTTCAGGGAAAAATAGGTCATTTTTCTCTTCATGTTACCAAAATAGGCTTTTCTACAGCAAGTTTGTAAGGGAAAGACCATGCAGTGCAAGATAATACTTGTTGGTTGCTTTTTAAAATCTATGACAAGGGCCGGGGATTTACCTCAGTGGTTCCACAGCCTGCCTTGCATGCTCAAGGTCCCGGGTGTGATCCGCAGTACCCTAAAATCTAAGACAAGGTATCCTCATAATTGTTGTTGAGATAGAAAATGTACAGATCATAAGTATTTCCTTGGTGAGTTTTCAGAGACTCTGCTGGTGTCACCAGCCCTTGGAGGCCCCATCCTGTTCTCTCAGCTTACTGCCTTCAAGGTGCAGGTCTCCTGACCCCAGCACCACGGCTCTTGGGTGCGTTCTGAGTGTCACATGCGGGATCGTAGCTTCCTCATTGACATGGTGTCTGTGAGACGCACACTGTGCCTTCTTGCTGTGCAGCATTGCGCTGTGTGACTGTACCACTGCTGATAGTCCTTTTTCCCACTGATGATTCCCCACGGATGAACACTCGATCGGTTCCAGGCTTCCATTCCTGTGAGTAGTTGGTGCAGCACGGACATGCATGAGCACATCCACACGTAGATATGCATGTACAGTTCTCTTGTGTGTCCCTAAGAAAGTGAGCGTGTGCCTAGGATCAGGTACGGGATATGCAGATGTTCACATCTGTAGACGTTGCCATGGTTGTTCCTGTGTACACAAGCATTGTGTGAGTGTTTCAGCAGCTCAAGTCATCAGCTTTCATAATTGCCCCCTTTGTGAGGTTGCTTTGGAGTTTGAATGTAAAATCAAGTGTGATTCAGAGTAAAATTAAGAACAACACTAAATTACAGTTGTCATAGTCTCCCACCAGTTAAAGCGAAAGCTGGTTTAACAAGCAAGTGGTCCATCATATTCTGCTAGTCAGATAGTG